AAGAAGGGTACCCACCAGGTCCCAACCGCAGGAGCCGTCAAAATAGCGAGTTATCCTGTCTACCGACTAAGGAAAAAAGAATGAGGAAAAAGAAGAAAAAAAGACGGAAAAAGAAAGTAAAGTAAAAAAGCCAAAAGAGTAATGAAACGTGCAGGTGACTCGGCGGGAGAATCACTCTCTCGGTTAATCACTCGCAGTCGAAGACCGGAGTCGGGTAAGGGCACAGGGGTACTGCCTCTCTACCCTCAAACAGCACTCACGCACCCGGTTACCCCACACACAGTGCATTCATCTACACACCAAAATCCTGGTCGGAGCGTCCACGTCATGCAGCCCTGGGGCAACCTGTCGGCCCAGTGCCAAGTAAGCTGCGGATGTGACTCTGGTAAGGTGAGGGCGGAGACCCCCCATCCCTCTTATCTACCTAACGCACAGCTGTTTACTTTTACTCTTTCACCCCGACTGCTGGAAGAATGATGCATGGTTTGGCTGTGTCCTGGCTGTCTAAAACGGTTTTGTAGCGGAGGGCGCCATTGGAACACTGTGGTGGCAAGAACCTTTGTGAACCACCTTTGAGTGGTCTTGACCATTGGTTACGTAAAAGCGGAAAGAGAACAGTTGTACAGTAGCATTCCTAGTTGTCTTGTTTCAGATACAATCGGATACCGAGTAACAGATAAATACTCTGAGGACCTCCGGGCGCAAGTTACCATCCGGCACCCCCCTCCCCTATTTTTTGCTTAATTTTCGGTCATTAGAGAAACGGATACAGTAAAATGTTTTGGATATTTTTTTTAGACAGTTTTAATGTATAAAATATTGTTCTGTTTGATGATACACGAAAGTCCATTTCTACATGGTTTGTTTTAAATTGTGACCTTGAAACACGTTGGACGGGTCTAAAATGTAGGGGATGCTACACGATATTCAAAGAGAGGCGTGTCTGGGGTATATGCAAGAGCGCCATTCATTGCCGCTAACACTTACTTGTGCCTGTGGTCGGACAATGAATATACAGGAGTCCTCCCGCAGGCCGGATCACTTTGTTCCGTAGGTTACAAACATATTTGTCCACCACACAGACGTTTTCAACAACTCCGTACGTCGTGTTCATACTAATAAAGTTGAGTCCTTTTTGGAACTATATCAAAAGACGCTTGAAAAACACTACGGGGTCGGTCTGAAATCTGATATGGGAACATCTAGATGGAGTACAGTACCGAGTGGTTTAGTCTTTCTATACAGACGTTTAAAAATGACTTTCATATTTATTTGCAACATCTTGCGCAGTTTTACCCATGTTGAATACCATTTACTAGTTATTAGATTATTTTTTATTTATTTCTGTGCTTCAATTTCCTGGGGAAATGTTTCACTACTTATGAGCAGTATTTATATTTTTACGAAAATCGCCGAGGGGGGGGTGCCGGATGGTAACGTGAACCGACCTCCGTCCGTCACTGAGCAATAAACCTACCACCAGAACCCGGGCTACTCGAAAACTTCGGTTCCCAAGTCCGTGAATCCCGTGAAGAACTGAAGGTCACAGAAACACACTACAGACGGCTGCTTGTTTATAATTTTGGTTTTTCTTTTTTGAGTATAAATCACAGGAAGCGTAGTAGCCTTCGCCTTTCGGGCAATGTCGGTTTAGGACAATACTCATAGTTCAATACCGTTCACGTTTAAAATGGTTTCCAAGAGAACTATGAGGAAGCGCTGCGTATTTTGTGAAATCGCCAATGGAACAGATGTTGAGGCAGAAATAAAAGATGAGGTATGCGAGGTTTTCAATGACCGTTCGCAGATAGGAAATATAGTCATTTTTAAAGACAAATATCCGCATGCCAGATATCATTTTTTATGTGTGCCACAGCATCACGTAACAAATTTGAACAGATTAAATTCGACGGACTTGCCTCTAGGTAATCCGCAATTGAATGATAGTAATGCTATCAGTGCTGCTAATGAAATCATTTACTTTGAAGTTTGTTTGCGACAAAATGGGATCTTCCGAGAATTTTATGTACGTTTCATGCTATCGTTTTTAATAGTCTCAGTTTCGGATTCCATAGGCCTCCCTTTAACTCCATACATCACCTGCACATGCATATTGTTGGGCCGGTGACTGAAATGCGCTACCACATAGCCTTCGATCCACGTCTATTCATCTTCATTCCTGTAGGTTCATCTGTTCATGTTGTACTCATAAGCATACAGGTTGATAAAGCTATTAGGAGGATTCAAGGGAAAAAGGCTTCGCGTTTACATCCAAACCAGAACGACTGAACTAAAGTGCCGGTGAGCGTTTCGCTACCGTTGCAATATACGTATCTTGCTTACCAAGCCCAGCTCTATTTCCCTGTGCGACTGCACGTCCGTCAACTTTAATCAATTCTATCTGAATCGTATAACTGTGTTATTCTGCTTTCTGTGATGATNTGATTCAGTTGGTTTTCTTTTTGCACCGCGTTCCTTTTTCTTCATATTTATTCACAGCTGACATCACTGTGATCCTGCAGATTTTAGCATCTTCCTTGTATTGCTTTTTAGGTATGTAGTTCTTTGATGTCAGTGTTTAGCACCGATTTTATATGAAATGGTTTCTTTCTAACAATTTTTTATCGTATCTTCGAACCACCCAAGGTCAAGTTAACTTTTTATAGCTCTTGAAAAAAGGTTAAATTTTTCTAAGCCAAACGAGACTCGTTTTAACGATTGGCTATTACCGTTCAAAGTCTCTATGTGTACAACGGAAGAATAAACTCTGCCCTACTGAAGTTACTGCGACGACAAAAGGAACGTGCGTACAAATCTCACAACGCTTCAGCTGTTAGGTATTTGTCCAGGCTT